AATGTCAGCAAGGAATACTCGAATCTGCTGCTAACTTTACTTACGTCGGAACCGGCCGTTTCCGTGCCGAATTGTTCGACCTGGGTAAAGCAAAAACATGTCTTTCAAGTGATCCAACATCAACCCATGCACGAAGATAATGAGTTTACAAAACGATCGCTGAACTCGAACAGTTGAAAGACCATTATCGTTAAGCAATCGATAGATTCGAAATGGAAAAAGGTGTGTAATAAAGTAGATAGCGGGTTTAATTTTGCAGCGATTTCAAACACAAAACTATTCCTTTTTTTGCAGAAGAAATTCAAGATGTGGATGAAAACAAGGAAAATGCTTAAGCCGGTACATTCTAAATATTCATGATATTACATTACTCTAATTATTGCCAAGTTACTATTTATTAAACTACTGATTTTTGTTTCAATTCTACGACGTAATAAATGTTTTATTTTTGAATTATATTATAAAAAATTTACAAAACTAATCAAGTGTTAAGCAAAGGAAAATAGTTATGAAAATCTTTCGAGCCAACAATATAAGAATAAGTAGTTAATTGTTTTATGTTGACACAATTATGTCGCGTTGCTTCTCTTGTAAAATCTTCTGTGACGATTCTCAAATATTGATAGAAAACTCTTAATGAAGTTAGACATGGTAAATTAGTTTTATTTTCATTTAGGAATTGTTCAATATAACGAGTACCAATATTCGTAAGAGAAAGTGAAGAAAGATGAGGATATCGAGCGATTGTACTTGAATGAATTTCGTGAGAAGATTGATTTGATACATATGACAATGGTGCATAATCATTAACAAACAAGCTTTTCAGTAATGGAAATAATTGAGCTATTCGTAAAAAGAATTCATGTTCAAATGGTATAACATCATGTATCCATAATTCGATAACATTGTTGAACATAATATTTGGAAATATATTACCAATATTCATAAGTTTTGCAAACTTAAATGGAACTGTAAAAACATGATATGTAACTGTGTTAAAACCAAAACTAATAATATTTGTTACTTCTCGATTCATATTCAAATATTTATGTTTTACATTATTATTACATAAATGATGACTATAATCCTTTTGATTGTTTTCAGTACTAATATAATAATCAAATGATTGAAGTTGTTTCATATCCATTGAATATTCATTAATAAGAGATATGGGATCAAGGAATTGATTTTGAGACTTGACACGCAAATATAATGTTAATTTTTTTAAATTTAACATTCGACGCAGAAGAGATATGATTTTATCATCAAATTCTTCAATCAAACCACAATAAATAAATGAAAAATATTTCATATTAGATAAATCATCCTACATAACAAAAATAATCGATGAAAATTAGTTTTATTTCAAAAATTTCAACTTATTTTGCTTGATAAACTTTTACTTCGATTTTCATTTTAAACAATCGTCATTTTATAAATTCACTGAAACAAAAACTACTTACCAAATTGTGAGCAACTGATTGATTTGTATCCATTGAATAAGTTTTAACAATAAATGTATTTAATTGTTTCAGACGACCATCAAGTAAACAAAGACAATCAGCAAATGTGCTCACATGAATAGATAGATAAGTTAGAGTACGTGAAGAAAAAGTATTTGATGGTAAATGACATAAAGATAAACCTGGATATCCATATGTTGTTGTTTTTGGTACAGCGAAATATTTCAATTGTTGAAAATAGTTTAAAATATGTACATAAACTGTTTCTGTATATCTTGCCAATGTTCCTATCTTACGTTCATGATCAATATTTGAAAGTTCAAGTTTCGTTATTTGATTTCTCAAAATATAATCCGCAGATGATTGATCTAAATAAACATACTCAAAAATTTAATTCTATCTCGAAAAAAATTTCTTACCTGTAAAATGATGTAAACAATTATCACGTTGAAAATTGATAAATTTTAAATGATTCAAATTTGGATAATGAATATGTTCGATTGATAAGGAATCAACAGTCAAACATTGAACATTCGAACGTATTTGAGGTATTATAGAATTACAAAATCGATTAAATATCAAAGTATTATCAATAATTCTTGTCAAATTAAGAGTATTAGAAAAAATCTGATCTCGTATTATGTTATCAATTCGTTTATTATTTATACCAAATAATGAATAAAGAACATCAACATTATCTAGTTTATTGAATATATAATATAGAATTTCCACAGGAAGGTCCATAAGGCCAATATCAGATTGTGTCATTTTTTTTCTGCAGCGTTGGCGTCAAAATAAGCACGTCTATATATGTATAGGTCAATCTATTTTTATTTACACTTACGACCTTTGACATTAGAAAATAGTCAATTATTTCAAACAAACAAACAAAAGAAAATATATCATCTAAATAATTATCTCGATTCAATTCTTGAATGCGCGAATGATAGCATAGTGAATAAAATTCAACAGACAATCAAAGAAGATAATTTTTTCATAAAGCACTAAACGTTCTATATTTTACAATGCATTCGTGTTTGATGGTTTGTGAACTTTTCCATCACCATTTGCAAATGATTATAATTAATTTTTAATTCGATTAAACAAGATAAATGTTTAGTATAATAAATATATGCGTATTAAACATCTCAAGTGAAATGAGGGAAGGATATTCACTAACTGAACATCAATCAGTTGTGCTAGAAAAATTACGTCCTTCAAATTTCAAAAATAGTATACCATATTACAAATAGATGAATTTTTAATAAGTGGAAATGTGCAAACAAGTCGTAGAAAAAAGGGTAGGTGTGGGTGTAGATATAGATATTTTTCTTCGTTTCACACTTAAATCCTCTTGGTAATAACCAGTATGTGCTGTTGGAAAATATATGTATGAGAACGATGAGATTCGAACGAATCGACATCTAGTTAGTTATTCACTCTAAAATAACACTCATTTTATACTGTTTATAGAATCGGAAAAAGTCCGTGATTTTTAACCAGATCTTTTGATCAAAAAAAAATAAGTTTTATTCATGTAAATATTAATTCAGTATAAAAAAAGGCGGGTGGGTGTGTATGTTCACTTTATTGCCAAGCACATCCACATCCTCAATATGCAGAAAATATATTGAACGACCTCAGATAAAATTTACAATATTAGTAAAAAAACATGTGAACTATTAAGGGAAGTGAACATTTGGAAAATATCTTAATGCAAATGAAAGAAAAAAAAGTGGATCATATTTTAATACATTTCGATTTTTATATTAATCCTTTAATATAACTGATTGATTTTTAATTATATTGACAATTCTAATTGTTTTAATAATTAATTATGCAAATAAAATACTACTCATCCATTTAAATGATAATCTTTATATATGTATTTGTTATTACTTTAGTATATTAAAATAATAAAATTTTGAAATATCTAGTTCGAAAAATGGCATATAGAACGAAAAGTTTGATGAACAATGTTTGAATCAATATTGGTTAATTTTTCAAGTAAATTCCAAGCTGGTTTTTCACTAATAACAAGATAATGATTATCAGGTTGAATTTGTTTTTGATGAGCAGATATTGTTACACTCATTGCAAGTCTCATACGTATAAAATAATATATTAAATCAATTTCAATTTTTTCAAATGGAAATATTTGATTATAACCATAAATAAGATTTGTTGCTGCATCAATTGGATCATCTTTATCTAACATAATATAAGCACATGCAATTGCAGCTTCACAAACAGTAAATGTTTCACATAAATCTCCAAAATCAATTAAACCAACATTTTCTTCATCAGTAACAATAATATTATAATCATTTGCATCATTATGAATAACAGAACATCTCAATAATGAAACTTGTGGAATAACAAATTCAATCCAATCTTTTAAAATATTTTCAATAATTTCATAATGATTTTTATTAATAATTAAATGTTTATATGTATTTATTATTTTTTCTGCATTCATCATATTCCAATAAAGATCACGTTTCATACTTTCATGTTTAAATTCATATAGAGATTTATCTATTTCACCAAGAACTTTTCCTAAATTAATTAATAATTTTGCACTATGAGGTTGATAATTACCTAAAGGAACTCCTGGAAGATAATTAATAAGTCGTATAAAATGATTTTTATATGTAATAATCATTTGTCCATCTAATGAAGGTAAACATCGACTAGATGTATTAATATGTTCCATAACACAATTTTGCATATCAATTATTGAATAGATTTCACTAATATTCGAAATTTTTAATATAAATTTTGATTGATTATTTTGAAAAAGAAAATTTTGATCACGTTCACTTGGTAATTGGCAAACAAATTCATTTAAATTATAAAATTTCATAGCTATTTCTTTTGCTTCATCAGTTGAAAATTCTGGTGCTAAATGACGAAGACTATTTGACATGATTTCAAAAATCAATTATTGATCTTTTATATTATACTAGAATAATAATAAAAATATAATTATCTAATTATTGCTTGTTGTTCTATCATTTCAATATATTATACATAGAAATAATAATTCGTATGGTCTTTTTCTTCTATTGTGTTGCATTACAAAATAAATCTATAAATTATTAATTTCATGAATAACATATTGAAATGAAACGACCAACAAAAGTTACTTGTGTAAATGAGCAAATGAATAATTTATATTTTTTTCATTCTTATCAATAATGTATGTTATGATAAGCTTTATCATAGATATGACTATCTAAGTGAAGAATATATAATGTTTATTTTTCGATATAAAACAAGAAAAAATATTCTTTGATTATTTTTATTAAAGATAATCGAAAAATAGTGACGGAAATATCTTATTTCTGTGTAGACGATTTGGAGAAATTTTCTTCTACTGTTAATTGATAAAGAAATTGCTGAAGCTTCATTTTTATATATACTATTTTATATTACTGTTTATCTAGTATCATACGAATAAAATTTGATTCTATTATCAGTATTCATAAAATAGATCTACGATTCTCATTGTTTGAAACAGAAGATTCAAGATTTGTCTAATTTAATATATTTCCGAAATTTTTAATCCATTTTCGTAGTATAAAAATAGAGAACTCTACTTGTCTCACATTAAAAAGTGTCAAAATAATGATTTAAATTATATATTACACTGTAAATCTAGTATCCATTGATCTACATTATATGTTAAAACTAACATTTCATCAGTATGATAGAACATTTTCAGGCATTTTTTGCAACGTTTCATAAAAATGATTGACTTTAAAATGATTTCTTCTAATACAATATGGGGGAAGAAAAAATATCCTGACGTTGCCTCTTTTCACCAGCAGAAAATATAGGTCCCTAATTTGTTCGATTCTTAAATTTTCGCAAAACATCTATAATCATTATATTTTGAGGCAGGCATCAACTAACGTATATGAAGTCAATACAAGATTAGTTTCAATAAATCTCGTACGGATTGAAATTACGTGATTCAATTCTGTGTATTTTTGATATAATCATCATGGTATCGCCGTCAAGTAAAATATGTTTTAATAGAAAAATAATGACAAAGATTGAAAAACCGATATTTTCTGCAGGAAAAACAAGTTTATCCGAAAAAAAAGCCGCTCTATTGGAAGAGGGTGTGAGTGTTGATACGAGGTAAGAGCAAGGCCCACACTTATATCCACACTCTATTCATATCTGATATTAGTCTACTCAAAATTTTATTTATTTGATTTAAATCAGAAGATGACTCTCTTAATATATTCTGAGAAGACATAATCTGTGCAAAAGATTTTTATTTACTATAAGTATATACAAATATGTTCAATAAAATATGGTTAATACTTTCTTTTTGTACTAAATAAATAATGATCTAAGAAACATTAAATATATACTAAGTTGGATATGAGTGACATGAGTTTTTTCTTTTAATTTTTCAATCATTTTATGTATATCTGAACTATATTAAGTGAAGTGTACATTTGTAAAATACCTGAGTGCAAATGAAAGAAAAACAAGTAAATTACATTGGCAAATCTAATTGTTTTAATAATTGACTATTTAAATAAAATACTGATCATCCATTTATTTTACTGAAGAACGCGTTTTCGCTCAAAAAGCGTTTGATCATAAGTCAATTACGAACGCATTTAGCCCCATTCACTCTTAATGTTTTACACGCAAATCAAATGCGCTTCAAACGCATTTCGAGGCAAAAAATATTCACATAGGAAGTACAGTGAATTTAATAGATTTTGTCACAGATATTACATCTCGAATTATTGATGAATGAAATATCAAACATAATATCTGGCAAAAATAATATCTAAACTATATGAACTTGTCTAGTTTCTATTATTTAGTACGCATAGTATGCTATTCCCTTTTGCTTCTATAGATCGTTATATGATAATATTATTAAATCATCATCGGCGTCAAGTAAGTAATCTAAAATTCAGCTATAGTTATATATTATGCATTGATATCATCTTATTCCTTGTATGAATAAGAATACTTTTTCTCTTTTGAAACTAATATAATAAATACTCTTATCAAATGTTTTTCAAAATCGAATACAGTGATTTCGACTAAGTTCTGATCATGATTAGTATTTGAATAGTTGTAAGGTTTATTTTCGATATTTCTGTATTACTAAAAATATTTATTAATATCAACACGTGAGAATGAGTAATAGAAAACGTATATTATATTTCGAAAAACTGAAGTTAATTTAGAATAAGTATTACTTTCAATATTATTGAGTTCACCTTTTACGATAATAACGATGAATCTTTTAATTGCTTTTTACTGAATAAAATCATTTATTCAAATAAGAATTAAAAATTTTGTTTTAACATTCTTCTCATAATTTTATTTATTCAAAATTATATTTTGTTCTTATAATGATAAGAATATTAAATTATAAAATCATACTTAAACACAAACTTCATTTAATACAGACATACAACAGATAAGTTTTTACAACAACAAAAACTTCAGATATATATATATGTCACTTTGAATATTGTCATGTTTTACATCATTAGTTTTTGTTTTTAGTTTGTGTATTTGGATTAATCATTGATAAATTCATTTGATGTCTTATATAACGACGATATAAATTGCTCAAACCACCAATAAATGCTTTTCTAAATACACGAGATGTTAATATTGATACATAAAATGCTTTAACATTATTTAAATAAAAAAAACTATTACTAAAAACCAAAACAAAGAAAATAATTGATAATTCTACAGGACTTTTTGTACTAATTGAAGTAAATGTATAATAAACATATATTATAGTCCATGGTAATTGAATAAAAGTTGTTACTAAAATTTGTGCAAATACAGTTACAATAAATTGATTTCGAGGTTTTTGCCGATTTCTTTGACCTGCGTCACCCTAAAATAAAGTAGAATTATATTAATTTAATAATTATTAATTCAGCTACTTACGACTCGTCCACGACTTCGGCGGACATTTCGATAGGTAAGTAAAACAAATATTATCATTGTTATTGGTGGAATTAAACAGTTAAGAACAATATTGGAAATACTTGTTACCATCGGTTGTCTCGATGTACATAAATTTGCAAAGATAAGATCATAGTTGATAGGAGCATACAATGAAAAAAGACAAGTGATGAGAATAGTAAGACCAATCATCCATGGTACAATTCGAAGTTGAGTTATTCGACGAATAAATGATGTATGATCACAAGTTATAGCAAATCGATCGATAATAGCCATACATAGAAAATTTATTGATAAATATGGCAAAAATACCACAAGAGACAAATTGAGTTTGCAAAGAGCAGATGATGTAAACCATGGTAGTTGAAATCCGAATTGCCATGCAAGATAAGGTGGAAATGAATTAACAGAAAGATTAATAATATCAATGAATGAACCACAAAGTGAATAAATACAACAACTATTTGAACGAAGTTGAGATTGAAGATAAGTAAAAACATTACCAATAAATCCAATAAGACCAAAGATGAAAAAGAGTAATGGTAAATAAACAAGAATATTTTGTGATGCAAAACTAAGTTCATCACTAAGTGATTTTGATGTTTGTGTAATATCAACTGTAGTTGTAATGTTATTGTCAATCATATTAGGGATTTGTTTGTATAATAAAGATATTTGTTCAGTATACATTATAGTATATGAAGTGAAGAATGCCGGGTATATATATTGAGTTGCTTTCTTTTTTTTTTGTGAGCATAAACTGAGTGAAAAGCGGGTATATATATTTGATGATCTACATTGGTAATTATTGTCTTTTTTTTAGAAGGCTCTATGTAACTCATGTGAGAATGACTTGTGCTACAAAAAGTAGATAGATGCTGAGTTATTTTTGCAAAAAATTAAAAAGACGCAAATTTTGTTTTTGATCATTAAGAAGGAAAAAACAAAATATGTGAACATTATCAGATGCTCTGGAAAATGTCACGCTTTTCTTCTGCTTGTATAATTATTTTGACATCAAGAATCATTACCTGCAACTTAATTGGATTCTACTGAGTTCATCAGATTATTCTACATATTTTCTAAAAAATTCAAATAACTTTGAAACTTAAGTTGCAAACATGAAGTTCTAAAAACTCTGCATGTTCTTTTTTTCAATTATTTCAATAAGCCTGATGTTCGTGAAAAGATTTGACCTTAGAAAATAAACATTAAGTAAAAACGTAGAATGACGTTCACATCTCAAACTCTCATTAATAATAGTAAACTACATTGTAGTTAAAAAATAATAGGATTAATTTTCTTTCGACAAATATTGAACATCGCTTAGTCTAATAACTGTAGCATTGAATATTTTCAATATATTAATGTTTCACATGTTTTTATATATTATAAAACTATTTAGGATATTGTGATGTTTTGATAGAAAAAACATGTTATGAGCATTAATAAACTATTTTAAATAGTAAAATAGATTTGTTGAAACTATTTAATCAATGAGAACAAGTATTCTTCAGTTTTTATCAATAAATGTTGTTGAGATTTGCAATTCATGATTAAAATCAGAGTAAATTCTCAAAAATCACATAATAATTGGATGAGAAACTTTATTCGATGTAGAATTATAATTTCAATAATGTATTTTTCAGTGCAAATAATATAACAGCGTAGAAGATAAATATAATACATCAAATAAAAGTTGAAATGTGAATTATAAATTTTCAGTAGAAAGAACACAGTAATTAAAAATATATTTAACAGAATAATTATTATAATATCAATCAAGAGTTTGCAGAATTAAAAATGTTTTTTTATCTTGTTGTATCTCGAAAAGTAAATTTAAACTGGCCTGCTTGTTTGAATTATGAAAAGGAATTTTTGTAAGAGGTAACTCAATTTTGTTTAAGTCATTAGTAGTGTTTGTTACTGAAGAGAGATGATAATGAAAGATATTCTGATATGTTAAAAATTGAAAAGATCATTATTAAAAAGCTTTGCGATGAAATAGTTCTAATTGATTGTAGAATTCTTTTATATACATTTTATGTATGTTAATTCTGACGTCAGCAAAATACTGATAAATTATCTAAAGAATATTAGATTCTATTCAGAGAAAAAGAGAGTTTGATGTGTATGTGAATATTTTGATATATTATTATATGTCAAAGTGACTATTATAATGAATTTAACAACAATTCTTTAATCAAGATTTTAGAGGATCTCGTAGGATTCACCAAGATCCACTTTTTACCTTTGTAATATGTATATATGGTACACGAGGAGAAACGAGAGAACCGACATTATAACGATACTCATTATTTTCATCGAAAGTCTTATAATCATTGTGAAGTTGATCCTATCATGACTTGCCATAATCTAAGATTGATGAGAAGACCAAGCGTATTTTTAGTAATATCCATATATATATAAAATTTGAAAAAGAAGAATTTTCCTTGTATGAATTACATATACATTTTCATGAACATCGTTATAAACTATAGCTGTATTCAGTTCTATATTTTATTATAAAATATAAATCCATTCATTTTGATAAAATAATATTATGTCTTATGTTATTTAGTATTTTACTTTACTTTAGAAAATATCTTAATCAATAATTATATGTATTAATCTTGTTTTTACTCTTATCTATTTGATTTAATTAAAAATAAAAGTAATAAAAGAAATTTTTTTCAATTATTTTACTTATATATTTCATTTTATTTTATCTTATTTATATGAAAAACTACTATAGTTAATTTAATAAAATATTTATTGAATCATTAAAGGAAGAGGTTAAACAAATTTGATGATACGATTAATATTAAAACCATTCTGAAACGCGATGAAGACAAGGATCATGAGTTACGATCATTACCAGCAAGAAATCAATCATATAGTAAAAACGATGAGCTGAAGGCATAGACATCGTCGCAACCAAAAACGTAATAGTATTCACCGATCACGACGTTACCGTTATCTCATAACTCGTCCAGTATATCATCGATTTAGAACGGCCTTGATTAGAAGAATAATTCATCAATTTAATACAACATTTGTACGTTTAAATTAAAATTGACGCTCGACTATTAATTAGTGGCGTAAAAAATGCCGCCATGAAACAACAGAAGGAACATCATTTACCATAGAGCGTTTTTCCACAGAAAAAGTTATTATTTATATCGACATCGATATTTATCATAGCAAATCAAATTTTTTCTCTCGCTATGGTATTATTTGAACATTTTTTTACTTATCTGATCCCGTTATTATATGTCACATAGTCCTTTTTGTTGTCTTTCCTTATTTCATTGTGAATTTTTTCAAAAACGATGTTTAAAAAACATTTTTTTCTGTAAAAAGAAGGATGTTAAGAATGGGTAGTATTTAAATGATCAGTTTTTTATATAGAATTATCTGTTGTTTTTTTACAAAGTGATCAGTATTTTTTGATCAGTAAATATATTATTTTTGAACAGTAAATAATGTCGAATGTCAGTAATTACGATCAGTAAATATATTTACAGAACGGTGAAAACTGATATAAACGCGATGATTCACTGATCAAACATAACTAACTACTGATATTTTAGTTTAAATACTGATAAATTCATTATTTTACTGATAAAATAGCCTAAATTACTGATTGCCTTTTACTGATCATTTTGAATAAAAAACTGACCATTAAATTTTACCCGTTAAGAATGACATCTTTACAAAGATATATTCTATCGTACTGCGTATTCTTCTTATTTCTCTTGTATTGGAGAATATATATGCGTGTATGTCTGTCTGTGATATCAGTTGTTGTTAGGTTGATTCTGTTAAATAAATAAAAGAATTACATTCTTCGTGAATGCGTACTCCAACTGCACATTTATATATTCATTAAGCGAAGAACCTAACAGTCATCGTTGACCGACTTATAAAAGATATATATTTATTTGCCTGTAGCAAAGTTGTATTATCCTTCTTCTGAGTTTTATGTATGTATGTTGATTAATACCTAATAAATTTATTCTTCGATATAAGTACTCAGTCTATACATAATTAGACTTAATACTATATCTAATTTACTGATGTATATAGCATAAATAGATGTTTATAGTTATATAACAAGTATTTTTAGCTCAGAAAATTATACAATGACGAGTAGTGGATAGGTGTCAATATTCATTTTATCACTAATCACACCTTCAAAAATACTAATTTAGTAGAATAGAATAATCAGATGTGCTAGTTTTGACAAAAGTCGCTAAGTAAACTTAATATATATTCCTTGTTTAAAACGTTTCAACTTTAATACAGCAAATATTATACATGACACATTTATTTTATTAAATATTTATAATAACAATCAGATAAGAAAAGTTTCAAAAGTACAACATATATTTTATAATGAAACAATAGTTTATATAAGAATGTTGTAGAATGTGAATCTAAGTATTGACTACGCAATTATTTATCAAGGATTTTTTTATATTACTATGAATGATGAGACGAAATTAAATAGTTAATATAGAATAAACTTTGTTTTGAAATTCTAACATTAAATTAAAAAAATCAAGTTGCAGAACTTTAAAACCTCATCTATATTGAAAAATACGTGTCGTCATTGTGATGTTAGAATAGTTTATGGAAATAAAAAAGAAGCCATATACATAAAACAAAATTTATTAATTGAATTTTTTTATTTTAAAAAATTCAGAATGATCATTATAAGTGTATGATACGATTGCGATCTTTCGTATTACATTTTCATGTCACTCACATATTTGCCACAGTCTATATTCTCTAGATATTCAATGTTTAGCAGAAGTATATTTTATTTTATTATAAAGTATGATGAGATAAAATACATATTATTCTTTAAAAAATGATTAAACTGAGTCATTTTGTTTATTATAAGCTCGTACAAGAATCGAACCACCTAATAGTAATGGATTAGTAGTTGAAGATGAAGCGGTAATATGTTCGACACGATCAGTTAGGAGTGCATTGGTTGTTGAAGAAAACATGGAGATAGTTGTTGATGATAACGAGCCAAGTTCAAATGCTGATGTCGTACTTGGAGAGGCAGACTTTCTTCTAATAAGATTTGATTGTTTTTGGTTGTATGGTGATGGTGGTGATGGTGGTGATGATGATGAATTTTTCTCGTTAATATATTGTTCTCGATAATCAGGCGTCTTCTTCAGATCTTTCTTATCTAAGCTTCTAGTCGGTGGTGGACTCATTTTTTGTAGACTTAGATCATCTGCATTTCTATAATTACCAACACGAGAATCGGATATTGACCTATACAGCACAAAAAACTTATTTACAAAGCTTTTCGAACCGAAAAAATTTACCGTAAAAAACCGAAAAGATATCGCTGTATATAACTCCGAGCTATGAAACCAAGTAAACAAAGGAGAGGCAATCCAATACCAATACCTAATCCAACTGCCAATGGCAGATAATTGACTGGTTGACCTATTAAAGATACAAAATCATAAGAAATTATGTGTTGAGATATGTCTTATTATCAAAAATATGAACCTGTCGTGGTCGTAGTCGTAGATGTTGTTGTAATAGTCGTCATTGGTTGTGTTATATATGGACCAGACGTAGTTGTCTTTGGACCAACCATGAAATCAAAACAATATTGTTCTGATGTATACAGATTAATATCGATAGCTATGGCACAAAATGTATAGTTCATTCCAAGTTGATCACTAGTTGGTACCCACAAAAGATTAATTCCATAAGTACTTCCATCACTTTCAAGAAATGGAACATCTGTTTTAATCATTCCGGGTGGACTAATAGTAAGAAAATTGATGATGCTCGTATTTGGTTGAATTCCACAACCGCTTTGAGCATTGATAGTTGCTGTGTATGGAACATTGACAGCCGCATAAACTGTACTTCCTGGAGATGGATTATCGGGATCAATACTGGTAATATTAGGAGCAATAGTGCAATTTGTTGATGAATTTGTTGTTATATTTGATTCTTCGTAGGCATAGAGAACAAATTGAAGTGGAACAGAACTAAGTGGTTCAGTTGCATTTTCAAGAAAATCTTCTAATTGAAGTGCAACAGCATAATAGCCAGATGATGGAAGTGTAACGTTGAGCGTACATATACTATCATCTGAAAAAAGTACCGTAGCATTTGGTAATGCTTCTGAATAACAAACTTCACCACATTCATCAACAAGAATTCCATTATAATTTTTTGATGATTCAGCAAAACGACATTGAATAATATCACCATCAATATCAGCCATTGGAATATTGATAGACGTATTGACATTGACTTGTACAAAGATAACAAATGGATTTGATGTAGTTGGTGAAGAATTAATCAAACCATTATCGGAACGTGCACTTAAATTGAGATACATGCTAATATTAACTAAAGCACTATCATTAATCATATTTAGAGGCATCCAACTTAAATCTGTTGAATGACTACCATAGCCGATTACTAAACCATCAGTTTTAACGGTTAAATTGAATATTAAGGAACTTTCACCAGTTGACATATTTAACAGACTGTTGTAGTCAGTACATGGAACAAGTGTTGTCAGATTTGTTGGAAAATTAGCAGAAGTACACGTTGTTGAAGATGATAAACAATTCAATTTATTTGTAGTGTTATCACCAATTAAACCATATGATAATATAGTGGTCGGTGAACATACACTTGACACAGTACTTTCTAACCATGCATAACGTTGATTGATAATAATTGCCTGTGTACTGTTAATTACAGGTGGATTATTGGTTTGTGGTAGCCAACTGATCGTTCCACCACGAAAATAAGATCCATCAGTGCATTTTATAAAAAGTACAACTGCAAGAAACATGTAGACAATCATCACGAAGAAATTGTAATGTATTTTTGTAAATAATATGTTCTTTACAATGTTTTCAAATAATGATCAATACCTGTACGGCATGCAGTATTTATTACATCGTTGTCCTCTTGATGAAGACCTAAAAACAATGCTATACTCTATCTTATTCTTTTCAATTTTAATTATTTTTCTTTTTATTCGAACGAAATACCGCTTCCGTACAAATGCGCACACATAGAATACTTGTATGTTTCAATTAAAAAATTATTTCAACATAATTTTCGCCCTCGGTAATGAAAAATAGAAAAAAAAAATACCTAGAAAGAACATTTGAGTATCTGTCTGCCCCTTCATGAAAAAAGTATGTCGCATTTCAACGTGACATAAAAAGTACGAACAATTCAGATATGACCTTGAATGTTGCAGATCATTCCAAAACAATTTTTCACGGAAAGACTGATTTCTCTATTTCTTTGTGACACAACAATTTGTACATCGAAATTGTCGATATCTTGTGATGCAAGTATGAAATTCATTGTTCGATATGTAACAATTTTTTGTTATTCTACTCGATACAAATATATTTTTGGGACTTCATTTAAGATTACTCATGTTTTTCTTCATCTTTCCTTCTGGCATACTATATGAACTTCAAATCATCCTTTGAAATCAACTTATTGTTGTAAACATCTTTTACAAAGTCCATCATAATTCGAATGATCAGAACTAGATCGATCTTCATTTGATTTTTTATAATATGGTTTCGTAATTGGTATAGATACTTTAGCTTGTTTATTTATATTGTCCAGAAATGATATAATTTTTGTATTTATTTACTTTAATGGTACAATTGATCAGTTTTTAATATTATTAAGAAGTGTTTGTATAAATTATTCTTGCAAACTGAAATGAATTTATCAAATTATATTTCTTAGTGTTATCAATTATGTATATAATATTGTATGTGTCTGTTTTGATCATAATCTTCTTGATCTTATCAAATCACTTTTGTCACACAGTATAAGATCAATTATATTAGTAACGTAAGATAAACCAAATTAATCAATTTTAAATATAATAAGTTATAGAAAAACATTTAAAAAAAGAACACGTATAATCAAAAACGATCGTACATCATTATAAACAAACAATTTTAATTGGCTTTATCAATAAAAATAGATTTTATATTATCGATATTATATTTTATCTTAAGAGAATGAATATTCAATGTGAGTGTAATATTCACATTCTTTATATATAAATTTTTTGCATTGATTATTTCAACATACATTGAATAATACTGTAATCACTTTTGAATCTTTATAATATTTTTTAATGAAAGCATGTAGAAATATCATTATTAAGTAAATATTCAGTAGTGTCTTTGTATCTAGTTTGGATATAAGTAAAAATACTTATTTCATATGACAATATATATATAGTCGAAGATATAAGATACATTACCAAATTAAACTTAATTCAAAAATATAGCTTATATTTTTCTGTTGATTATGATATGTCGTGAGAAGTATAGATTTTCCTGTATCAACTGATGTTTTAATTATGAATAAGAAATACATCGGAAAAAAGATGATAAACTTTTGTTTACTACAGTATTGAAAAAAGTATAAATTAATTTATTATCTTTTATTGCCTTTGTATATATTAACACATGCCAATTCTATCATTGTGTGAATATTTAACATCGCAGTTTAACAAGTTTGTCTATATATAACTAATGAAATGTAGAATTAGTATGTAAATATAGGTATAATTGTAATCGATGAATGTATTTGAATGTGAAAAGAAAATGTGTGTAATATCATTATTCATCAAACTTATATTGACAGTCATATTTTCTTCTATGAAGTTTTCTTCTTAGTTACTCACAACGTGATGTGATAAAATGATGACGCAGTGTCTTTTCATGCTCTGTATATAAATACGTCATCATTAGAAAAAGAAAAAAACATGAAAATAAAATAGTAGATGACGTCAAAGTACAAAGGTGTATAATAGCAGAAGAGAACAGAAAAATACACCCAAAAAATGTGTCACTGTATTTAGGACTTAATATTTATGTTTGCTTATTAATCTCTCAATACATTACATTATTTATTTTTTTACTTTCTTTACTCATCTGCTGCAAATAAAAATTATTTATTAATATGGCTCTCGCTGCTGTCAATACTGGTAAAGCTGTAATGCATACTCAACGTGGTATGTTTATTAAGCGATAACCTCGTCATTTCATAACATATTTACACTATCGTTTTTTTTGAATAGGATGGCGTAGTTTGATCAAACCCTATTTATTAACTACAGTTGGAATCGGTACGAGTGTGACTCTAGGTGATTTTATATGTCAATATTTAGAAAGAAATAAGAAAATTAAAGACAATGACTCTACTTCAAAATCATTTTCTTCCGTATTACCATGGTGGGATATGAAACGTTCGTTGGTTATGTGTACTTCAGCTACATTCGTAATAGCACCTTGGAACTTTACACTTTCAAGAATGATTGAAAGACTATTCCCAGGTTAGTAACAGAATAAGAATATTTATAAATAACAAAATTGAATTCTATCATAGTTTGAAAAGAAAACGTCATTTTGTGTACCTTTAATTATTTTATTTTATTTTATGTTTTATAGGAAGACAAAACATTCAAATAGTAAAAAAGATGTTAACCAATACATTATTCGCACCTGTTGGTATATGTCTCGTGTTTATATCTGTTACTCTTCTCAATGGTCGATCTCTTCAAGAAGCAAAAGCAAAAATAAAAAATGATATGTTAAAAACTTTTGTAACTGGAACATGTTATTGGCCATTTATTTCATTTATTAATTTTCGTTACATACCATTAGATTATCGACCATTTGTTGGAAGTTTAGCTGGAGCTATATGGAATATTTATATATCATTTGTTGCTCATAATACCACAGTAGAAAATTCAAATAATACTAGACAAATATCAACAGAGACAAAAACAAAGACAAATTTTTTATCTGAAACAATTGAAAAGATAATATTAGTCGTACGAAAAATATTAAATACTTCAGATCATAATAAAAAAGATTTGTAATTATAATAAAATTTGATTACACATCTAATAATTTAAATTAGATAGATTTTATTTCTTCGATCGTAGAAAAGTTCATATATGGAATAAAAAGAATTTGTGTCTCTAAGTCAAAAGTCGAAGATTAAATCTCATACATATGAGTAATTCTTATCTTTGAAAGGATGAATGTTGAGAATGAAAATTATTTATCGAATAACGGTGCACTGTAGGATGATACAATCTTTAAAACGAGTTAATTAAATACGAGCATCTTCGAACTGATTATAAACAGAATGAGGTATCAAGAAATTCGACGAATTACAGTAATTTTGTGAAGTCATCGAGTTTAACGACTTCAGTTGAATAATGAATTGTATAAAAAATAAAATATCTTTATCTATGTGCTTATCATCAAGTGGAGTAGAAGTCGAATAAAGAAAAGTTGTCAAACAAACGAATTGAATTGGTTAAGATAGTGTTCTTAATGATGAAAAACCGAAAAATCTATATCCACAAAAGTCTTAGCGTACATTCAATGAAATACTTTATTCAGTGAACTTTCATATATTTTAAATCTGAATTTTGTAAATTTACATTATTATTTTTTTTTTGAGTGAGAAACTTGTTTGTTTGAAAGAACTCTTACTGAAAAATTAGTAAGTGACTTTCATCGGATACTTAATGAGTATTGTCAGAGAATCAATAAAAATAAATGGTATATTTCCAGAGATTTCAGAGTACAGATATGTAATATGTTGCTGATATATTATTTTTAAGATATGATTGATATCTTCATCTATGAACAACGTAAACATGAATGATCAGTAAATACGACAGATAACGATTATCACGAATAAAAGAATTAATAATAAAATAAATGTTTTGATGTAGGAGTTAAAAAAAACATAAGAAAAGCTTCTTTCAAATATTTACAAAATGAAAGTATAATATCAATCTTTTTACTATGACATTTTAATCTTGAATAATTAATGGCATAAAAAGAAAATGAAAAGAACATTTTAAAATTAATGTCATTATTATATAAAACATAATTGATAAGTATATCTATGGACTCTTTATCATTTATTTTACAATTTACTTTAAAATATTCATTCTATACGAATTATATAACAATTATCATTGGACTTATTGGTAATGCTTTAAATATTTTAGTATTTACTAATTTACCATTATTTCGCAGTAATCGATTTACTTTATATTTAATAGTTGAATCCATTTCTAATTTCATCTATGAAATTTTAACTCTTACAACATCTATTGTAACATCAATCTATGGTGATAGCACAGTATCATATTCATTTATTTGATGTAAATTACGATATATTATACTTTGTTGGTATTCAACCATCATTCGGATGTATTATATTAAATGAAAACTTTATTGAATATGCATCATATTTCTTTTATCCAGTTTTAGCTGGTTTATTTCCAATTCTAATTGCTTCATCACTTAGTTTATTAGCTTATAGAAATGTTCGTCGTATTATTCGTCGGCAAATTCCAATTGTGAACGTCGTCGATTTGATAGACAAATAACAAAAATGATTTTGCTTCGTGCTGTATTGTTTGTCATTTTTACATTACCTTATACTATTTATCGTATCTATGCGGTTAATATTAAGATAAATTCAACAGATGTTTTACGAATTGCAAATGGAAGATTAATTGAAAGTATTTTCCTTTCGTTTTTTAATTTGAATTATACGGTAAGATTTCATTTTTTTCTTCTTATTTCGATATAAGATGAATTTCAATTGATTTAGGTTACTTTTTATATATTTCTGGTATCAATACCACGATATCGTCGTCAAGTAAAATATATTTTAATAAATAAATATTGGTAACAATTAAAAAACTGGTGTTTTCCCATAGAAAATCAAGTTCATCCAGAAAATATTGCTACTTCTAATGCAAATATTGACCTTGAATGAAATATTTCATTATTATTATTTAATCGTCTATTTATGCTTATAGTCTTTTATTTTATTATTTATAATGAAGTACTTACGTAAAATCTACAATAAATATATTTATTGATTGCGATACTACGGAAAAATTAAATTATGATATAATTATCTTCTATCCATATATAATCTGAATGGAACAGTTTGACTAAGTTGTACAATATTAATTTATTTAAATTGATTTTATTTCATTATTTCTCAAAAGAAGAATCACCTTTTATATTATATGATCTATTTTAAATGAGATTTTTTTTGGCATATCTAAAGCTATCACTAGTCTGTCGTTTCATATGTTCCTTAGAACTAGTTTGAATTCTTATTATACACCCAGGATACTACGAGATGATCATTTACTAATGTAAAAGTCAACATCTATATGTTACAATTAGAATAATATACGTAGAAAAAAAAGGTTCTTCAGTGCAAAATAATGTGTCAAACAATTCACAAAAATCAACTAGAAATATATAGATCAACATATGTTAATAGTACTTCTTTTTCATGAGAAAAGTAAAAAAATCTGATATTTACAAGATATAAACTTTCAGTCAATAATTATAATGATGAATAATATACTTCATATCTTTATATGTAAGCATGAGTGATATTCGACTTAGATATTTAGTTAAGAAAAAATTGACTATATTTTTTTAAAATTGGAAAATAAATTTTATTTATTTGAATGTATTGGATTTTTCATAGCTTTTCTTATCCCCTCAATTTCATTGAGAATAATATCACATTGAGGTCGATTGGCAAGTATTTTCGGAACGCGTCCTCCAGGATCTGCATATTGTATATATGTATAACGAAAGCCATTTCCGTTATCAGTTGCTTCGATAAGATGTGCACCTTTAAAAATTGTTCGTACAAATTTTCCACTTAGATCGATTGCTTCAGGATGATCAATGGATCGATAACTAAGAAGAAATCCATTAGCAAGATTACGTCGTACTTTCAGATAACATGTATCACGAGGAGAAATTAGAGCAGATGGTGATGCATATCTATATATATATATAGAAATCAAAATTTCTTCTTTTATTTTATAAAATCTTACTGAAAATAACAAAATTCACTACGACCATCATCATTTTTACATATAATTCGACCATCAATATAGAGTTCATGCCATTCTGGATGACGTTCTTTAAGACTCGTATTAAGTAGATCATCGATATTTGCTAATGAACTATTTTCTACATATCCAACTAATTTAATCCACCAAATAGGATCACCTGATTGCTTATAAACATAACATATATCATCTTTATGTTGTGCACCACGTTTATGTTCTTTCCATATATTCGTATTATTTATCAATGCTAAATCATCATCTAAATAACGATCAAGTGTTGCTGCATCATATTTAACTGCCATGTGATTTGTTTGTTATTGTTATTGTTATTTTTCCTTCATTCGTTCTTTACCTGTACACCACTCTTTCTTCGTAGATTGCGACAAGTATGATGTCGCTGTTGAATACATGTAAATATTTCATTTTGACGTTCGTTACCTGGTTTTGTATTATTTATTTACTTAGCTACATAGTATTGGAGTAAAATAAATATTTTGTTTTGGTTTCAAAAGTATACCGACAAAACAAAATATACAAGAGATGTGAATGAGTGAAGTTGCACAATGAATCGCGCACTCATTCATACTTTCGTGGTTTCAAAAAAAACTAGTTTCACTTTCCTCTTATAGAAATCATAGTTATACATCAAATTAATTCCTTTTAAAACTTAATATAAAAATATTGTCTCTATTATTAGAATACAAAAAATAAATATAATGTTTTTATATAAGTAAGACCAATGACAGATTAGACGACAACGATTGTTGTAGAAATTTCTTTATTATCATCAAAATTCTTAAAAGTAAGATCAGATCCTGTCGATATTCTATTCACCTGTAAATCAATTATTATAAATAACAAATGAGTTCTTTTATAAGTACATCAATTAGAAATGAATTTTTATGTTCGTTCTTATTCAACTTATTCTATTTCAATTTTTCATAGTAATTATTCGATCATTAAAAATCGATTATATTTTTTCTTACAAAAACATATGAATCATACTGATGAATAAATATTGTAAAGTTATGTCCTTGAAAAAAATTCAAGATATTTGTTAATGTGTTTTTTTTTTCTTATATATTTTATTAATATAAGTAATCAACGGTACATCTTAATGGTGTTGACTAAATGTCTAGGACTAATCATAAATGAAGCAACTAATGAAAGAGATGCATAGAAATGAAAACAAACGAAAGAACTTCGGATGAACAAAATCAAACCAAAGAAAAATAAAAGCTTCTCACACAGCACACGGGGATAAAAAATAAATGGATGAAACAAAACTCGACAAAATACTGTTCTTGCTTATTTTTCATTAACTTGCTCATTTTATCTATTTCTTCTCTTGAGTTTCAACCGTTGTTGTTGTTGTTGTTTTCAATACTCCTATAAGAAAATAAATATTCATTATTATACTATTTGAATTCTATTAATATATCTACCTGAAGCACCAGTATTCGATGATGTTGTTTCACCTGTAAAAGTAGAATAAAAATTAAATCAAACTATTCATCAATATTAATAAAGAACAATGTATATATGTGTGAGCATAGGTCTTGTCTTTATTGATAATTTTAATAATGAAGTTTTCAAGAAAAACTTAATTTAATTATAATACTCGTTGATAAAGTTGTCAAGACCAATATTCTCAAATTACTTCTCAACAAATCTCACTAATGCTCATGTCAAGACCAATTCCAAAGAATTTTATAAAATAGAATTATTTCATATAACTTCGTTATTGCTTACAGGAAGGAGATAATGTATTAAATACTATGATAATAAATATCTTCATCTTCAAAAAAACAAACTACTTCAATATTATTCTTTTGCATACAGTTTAATTAATTTTTATATCTAAAATACTTTACCTGTAGGTTGTTGTTGCTGTTGAGTTGTATTAGCAGAGGCAGGTGTTGATCTAAAATGTATAGAAAAAATAATAATATAAAATAAAAATACATAATGACAAAGTACTAACTTAGGTGGTGTTACTTGTCTTTGTTGAGATGGATGATATGGTTGTTGTTGTTGACCGAGATTTTTTTGTAATTGTTCTTGAATATTAGTAAATGAATCTCTTCCATGATAATCAACATGTCCAGATTCCCATGCTCGACGATGAGCAGCAGAACCAGCTTGAACACCTTGTTCATTTGTTAATGAACCATAATTTAATAATGAACCAGTAAATCCACCATGTAATTGATTCTAGAAAATAGAATGAAAAATAGAAATCTGTGATCCGTATGGTTTGTCTACAAATGCAGATAAATCTGCACCGAGCTACAGAATATACAGTTCGTGGTTCGCACCGAATAAATTCGGGAACACTTGCTCATGCTTTACGATGTCACAGTGAGGAATTTACTCCATAGAATAGGGAGCCCCTATTTAAACTGTGTTCGTATTTTTATATTGAATATGTATTCAAATATAAAATACGCACATCGAGTAGATTCGATCCAACGAACTTTTGATTATATTCATTCTAATCAAATGAATTATCTTTTCATGCAGAATAACAAGAAATTATGCAAAATAAAAACAAAATATGCTATTAGTTTGATTTCAAACCATCGAATTTGTTTTTTTTGAAAATAATGAAAGAATTTTTTCCGATGGTAATTTATGTTGTTGTTGATTTAGAGAAGAAAATGAATCATTAGGAATTGATTTTGGTTGAATTTTATAAAAAGGTTTTATTTGACCTTGTTTTAGATGAAATATTCCTGATTTTGGAAGAATTTTATCTGCAGAATATTTTCTTTTAAGATTTTCTCGTATTGATATATCATTGAATAAATCATCAATTATTGATGGATATGATAAACTTCGATTTTTATAAATAAAACTTTTTTCTTTATTGAAATTTAATTTTATTGAAGGAGATTTAGTCATCACTGAAATATTAGACTAAACAGACTTTTGTTCAATTTTAGTTTGAAATTTACTTTAATTAGGAAAAGAAAAGAAATAGATCTAGATAAAAAAAACATGCTTTACCTCTCCGATGTTTGCTTGGTTTGGATTTGATTGCTGAATAGATAAGGATAACACAACATGCAGGATGCAAACAAATCAATCAAAAAAAATAAACTACTGACCTGATTATGTTTGGATAATTGTGGCCAAACACGTTCATACATAATTTTCCACCATGCAAGAAGAAATTCTCTTTGAATAGTTTGTTGACCACCGAGATTTCCTGATAATTGTTCATTTTGTGGATTATATGTTAGTTGCCATGGTTTTAATGCACCGGCAAAATGAACAACACGAATATCATTACGAAATCTATTTAAAAATATTTTTCTTTTCAAATAAATAAATAAATAAGTAAATGATATTTACTGTGTTACAGCTGGAACATAAGAATAAAATGTATTTGATGTTACATTATAAGTAAATGGTAAATGTCGAGATATATCCGCTGAACGCCAATTTGAAAAGAATGCATTCAAAAGACCTTGATCACCGCCTAAAAATAAAAACAACAAAACATTTATGATATATATATTTAATAATAAAATAAAAATTCGACCATCAAATGAAGCATCTTGTTGATTGGCAAATTGAAGTAATTTTGTAAAAGTTTCTTTAGATGGTTTATAAACAAAAACACCGGAATTAAAACAATCAGGCCAACCAGCATCAGGTGCTGCTGATATTTCTTCGCGTTCAAATAAATCATCTATATTTTGTAAAACAACAACATCAGCATCAAGAAAAACACATTTGGAATATTTTTCTAATAGCCAACAATTTATTTTTGTAAATGTAACACCAAGTTCAGGTCGAGATAATAAACGTAAATGTTCTTCATCATGTGAATTTAATTCTTCAACAACAACAATTTCATCAAAACTTGTTTCTAATGTTTGTCTAAAATAAATTAAGAAATAAATAAATAAATAAATAATTTTCAAAATAATAAGAATAATAAACCTGATTATATTAGATATATTTCTTGATATCATAACGACTAATTGTCGTTGTGTTCCAACTTTTCGTAGAGATTGAGCAACAACAAGAGCTCCAAGTGCATAGCCATCATTTGTGGCTAATGTTACAAATGCTTCAGAAGACATTATCTCGAACTAAATACAAATAAAAAATAAATAAGTTTTGTTTATACATAAAGAAAATGATTCATTAGTAAGTAGCTTCGTTTTTTTTTACAACTACATACAAAAAAACAAACGATAGTGCTACGAGGTCTTATCATTATATATATATCTTTAACCATCCATAGAAATGTCTATGCATGTGCCTCGGATGCGATATCTTTTTAACCATTAGAAGAAAGACCACGCGGAGAATGCATGTTTTTATTACTATTTTATTGCGACTAGCGAGGTCACGCGTATATTCGATGTTTCACAAATATCTATCATATGGTTTTATACATAGGGATATAAAACGCACTTTTCGGTCGATTCACGTGTTACTTTACAATATAAATTAGTAATTAAGAAAAATCTCGATAAAAAACAATGGAGAAAATTGTCGAAGAAAAAGATTTGTTCTATCTCGCAAAATAACAATGATAAATGATTTATATCCATGTCGTAAACAGAATGTCCGTAGAAGGCAATCATGTAGTATGGGTTAAAATAATATCTTTCAGTAAACAACTAAATAAACAAGCAGGCTTATTTATATATATACGTGTATTTTAATTATCAGAATTTTATCAATTATTTTATTATCAAAAGATAATAATTCATTAGAATTTACTTAAAAATAAAATTTTATATATTCAATTATTAATTATAAAATCATTATAGATGTCATTGGATTAATTAGAGGTTTACGAAATTTATCTCATTTGTTTAATCAATAAAACCAATAAGATTTAGTCATATAATTGATGATTGAATCTATTTCTTTAAAATCCAGACATACTTGCATTCTTACCTAGTATTTCTCATACAAGATAAGATATCAAAGTACAAAGTATTATAAAAATGAAACTTCTTTTAAATGAAACCAACAGATCGAAAGATTCATTTTTCGATATGAAATAAAACTCTAATAATTGTCCTTGACTTAAAAAGAAGAACATTCTCTTATCATATTTACTTTGTATTTATCTTTAGATCTTTGTTTTTTTAAATAAAACATTTTATCATAAATATTTCTTGAGAAAGAAAAGAAAAATGAATAAAACAAGTTGTAAATATATTGAATTAATAAAAAAAAGTCCATTACATTGGGAACTGGTTCTTAATCGACCAGATAAATATAATGCAATCAATAGTGATATGTATGATAATATAACACAAATATTAAATCAAGCAAATAAAGATGAACAATTAATTCTTCTTTCAATAACTGGAAAAGGAAAATTTTATTCATCCGGGACTGATTTAACTGATCCTGCGAAATCTTTTGTAAGTTTAGTTTTATTCTATGTATAAGATTTTTCTTATTAAAAAAAACAAACATTAGTTATCAGATACAGCTGATATAGAAACAGCCATGAATGAAGGAAAAGATCGTTTAAAAAAATTTATTGAAAGTTTTATAAATTTTTCGAAAATTCTTATTGCATTTATTAATGGACCAGCTGTTGGAATATCTGTATCAACATTAGGATTATTTGATGGAGTTTATGCTTCATCATCTTCAACATTTAATTTACCATTTACACGTACAGCACAATCAGCTGAAGGTTGTTCATCATTTACTTTTCCAAATTTAATGGGTTCACTTCATGCGAAAGATATTCTTTTATTTGATAAAAAATTAAATGCTCAAGAAGCACAACAAAGAGGATTAGTTACACAAATTATTCAAAAGAATTCTTTTGAACAAGAAAAAGAAAAAATTTGTCAACAAATTTTATCATTACCAAAAGGAAGTTTATTGGCAAGTAAAGCATTAATACAAAAATGGTATATTCAAAAACTTTATGAAGTTAATCAACATGAACTTGATACTTTAACACAACGATGGACAACGGAAGAATTTGTTGAAGCTATTATGAAATTTGTCAATAAAGGAACTAAATCAAAATTATAATACTAAACAAATTTGATTTTTAACTAACGAATATATATTTCATACTTGTTGATTTTTGATTTATTTTATAAAAATAAATATATTTACAGATTCAAAAAAATGAAATTTTAAACATAAAGAATAAAACTAATCGTCATATTAATTAGCGAAGTCCAAAAGTTGCGGCAGAGGTTCTGATTTTCTTTCAAAAAAACGTTCTCTCGATATGGTTTGTAAGAGAAAATTTTTCTATGCCATTCGATCATATTTCAGCTAATAATGAATGGTAATGAATATTTTTTAAGTAACCTTTCATAGAAACAAGATAGAGAACTAAGATTTTTTACCGTTACAAAGAGCAAATGAAGAGACATCTAATCGTCTCTAATCGATTTTACTAATATTGAAAATCTTACAAGAAACAGCTGAAGAAACCCTGAAATATACACTTCGATGCTTTTCTAACCTTGTTTCTATCAAAAGTTATTCAAAAAATACTCACTCCGTAATGAAAGAGATCTTATTAAATAATATGCAACTTATTAATAATCAATGGAAACTTTTGTAATAATACTCTAAATATTACTTTTTCTTTTTGCTTATAGATCATATTGATAAGAGAAAAAGACTTGGAAACGTTATCTATCTCCATTCTTTAAGATATCTCTTATTTTTACATAACTCGATAATCTGTTGATATAAGATAAACGCAATTCAATTCTAGAGAATATAATATTATTTTCGATCATTTACATGTGGATAAAATGATTAGAAAGAGAATAAGTTTTATTTTCTATTATTGTTTCTTTCAATAGGGTTGTAACAATTATTTTTTCTAATCCTTCAATATATATTTATATAAGAATTTATTTGTAATAGTATGATTAAAATAAGTAAATGCACTTGTAATCTATTTACACATGTTATTCATATGAAAAATATTTGTTTCTCTTTCTTCCTGCCTAGTTAATATAATAGAGGCATAAATATCATAATATTATTCAACGAAAAATAGAAAATATATTTCTACTTAATAATCACGAAAGATTTCTAATGAGTCGATTATTTATTTTAATCAAATTTAATAGCGTAATAATTTTCTATCTTGAGATAAATCAAATGAGATAACCGTATTTATAACGTAATTTCGTCTAATATAAACATTTTAACGTCGTAAATAATCATACAATCTGATTCTTTAGAAAAAAGTAAATGACGAGTCAGTGCATATATACATTTGTTTTGTTCAAAATAAACGACGTTTTCTATTTTCTAATGAGTATGAATAAATCATCGATATTTTTATGTTTCAAAATATGATTGACTTATTGCATTGCGAAAAGAAAAGAGGAAGATATGATTTGATGTAATCAACTAATATTTTCAATGGGAATGACGTAAATCGATATATGTTGATATTTAACAGATGTTATTTGTTTTATCTTATGAAAAACTTTGCTTTTGTATATCTTAAAATGTCTTACTGACAAAAAACAGTCTAAACATATCTTAAGAGAATATTTTGTTCCAGATTTTTACTGTAAATACTGATATATATATATCTATACTATGTATATAGTTGAATAAAAACAAAAAAAGGTATGATATATTTCTCATTAACTACTAATGACATCACGTTTTTTTTAATTTAATCATATTCATAAAATGAATTACATTAATTTTTTTCTATTTCGATACACAAAATATGTTTGTATAAATCTGAAAGGAATATTACTCTTGATTTCAATATTTTTAATATCAATCGGATGTCAATGATTTCAGAAGTAACTCTGTCGAGTTAAAGAATATTTCAGTCTAATTACGAAATAGAAAAATAATGTTAACTAATTATGATATGTTATTATGTAAATCTATTGTTTTTGGTTGTATCGATCAATTCGAATTATGAAATAGTAAATGATATGTTTTAATACGTCTGTTTTGTTAATAGAGAAAAAGAAAATCTAGGTGAAGAGAAAGAGCGCCATTGATCGATGATTGGGAAAGAAATTATTTTGATTAATGTCATCTATACTTAAATATGAGTAAAGAAAATAAAAGAGTAATCGTATATATATATATCAAGGATATTATTCATCATAAACAAACTAATAAACATAATAATAGTTAAAATAAATGAAAAAAAATCAAAATATTTTTGTTAATTATTGTTTAGAAAATAAAAATATAAATAAAAATATTTATTTAAAGAAAGAAAAACTAATTATGAATAAAAAATTAATTTGTACATAATAAATTTAAAAACAAAAACAAAAAAGAAAAGTATTTTTTTTCTTTTTTTTCCTCTATGGATCAGTTAAAAGTTTTCTTCTAACAACAAGTTCATTTTCTCCAGTCCGAGCATCAAATGCTCGAGAAAATATACAATCAAGTGGTTCAGCTAACATTAATTCACATGTTGAATGAATAGTTAAAGAATGAACTCGTCCACCAATTAATGCACCTGTTTGTGGATCAGCAAATGATCCCATTAAATTATGAGATTCACTATCAAATGTTCCACTAAGTGAAATAATATCATATTCTTTTTTATTTAATTGACGAGAATTTAATGTACATTGTGATAATGTTCCAATACAACTTAAAATAAATAATGATTGAACACCAATATCTTCCATTAATTCATGAATTGTTGAAATTAATTCAACACCAGGACCAAGTCGCAATGGATAACATCGAAGACTTGTACTTGCTGGAGCTTCTAGTTTTTTATATTCAACAAAATAATTTGAATAAAAATTAGAAAATAATTAAATAAAAAAACTTACGACGTGGTGCTCGTTTCGATGTTTTTGTTTTATTTTTACGACTGAACATATTACTAACTGTATTCATTACTAAAGGCATGTTTGATTTCAAAACCAATATAATGATCGATTATGTTTTACGTATGGTATGGTTGACTACCTTATAACTAAACTATATATACTATTACATGATAATTGACAGGAAAAAAAATCATATTATTTGATCATGCATATAATGTGTGGATAAACGCCCCGTGGTACAAAGGTTTTTTTTCTTTTATTACGATTATATATATATTTATCATATCCGAGATATTTTCATAACAAAATAAACTTCTTTTTCTTCAATTTGTAAAAGATTTTTTTAGTAAATAATATCTAAAGATATTTAAATTTCGAATAAAAGTTTAATTTTTGATAATATTATCAAAATATTTGACATCTGTTTAATATAAACAAATCATATTTTTCTAAAAGAAAACTTGACTTTTTCTTTGTTTTCATATCAATAAATAATGTTAACTATTGTCGAAATAACAATGACAAGTGTATATATGTTTACATAAATCAAAAGTCAATGATTTCTATTCAGTCATTGTCTATAGAAAACAAAAAAAGACGTCATCTACTTTTTCTTCTTTTTATTTAACATATGAATAATACCTTATCGACTCATTATTATTATTATATATTAATAATACGTGGGTGATTTACTAAACAATAAAATTCTTTTCAAAACATTTCGATAAGAAAAATATTTTTTTTTCTTAAAAATCAATCATTAAAATCTTATATTTATTTCTAATCAATTCATTCTGTATATGAATTATGAAGAGATAAATAATTTACATAAATAGAAAAATAAATATTCGATAGAGTTTTTCGTAGATTTCTCATTTTCATTTAAAATAATTACCAAATTTACAGATGACAAATATATAAGATACGAAATAAGTTCCTCTATAAATAATTCGTATATGATTGGAAGATATAAATCTAATATTTTTGAATAAAGAATTCTATATTTTCTATAGTTCTGATAATAAAACGTTATTGTATAAGTGTATTTTTTCTAAATATGAAAAGAAAGAAGATATTTTGAAAATGGGGTTATTTAAGTGTTATACGTTATCCAGTTTAGAGGAAGGAGAAGTTGGTTAATAATAACGACTGATCATGTCACGTGGAGGAGGAAGGATCGCTCGAAATTAATATAGTCCTTATAAACTTTTCTCTTATAGAAAAGTGAATTTTGAAATTGTGTTGTTCGTTAGACAGAACTTTATATACAAATCTAAACAATGAAGGATTTTTGTCTAAAGATCCGTTTTATATAAAAAATACTAATGATTACATAAATAAGAGAAAGAGGAGTTCACAAAAGTTGATAATTGATTATACATAAGAGGTTAAAAATCAATGACGTAATAGTTGATAATACAGATTCGAATTAATTTGTTTAATTATTCTTATTAAATCTATTTGATAAGTATAGATTAGATTTCATTTGTAATGAATAATACTTTTTTTTTGTTGAATGACATCGAAAAAGTAATTTGACTTTTTTCTTTGTTTCTGAGTAAAATCCAATTAAATCTTACATTTATATAATATAATATAAAGATAAAAAAAATCCTTCATTTCCTTATCTTTTTTTCTTGATATAAATAGATTGTCTTTTTATTGTTTTCTCTCACTCATTCACAATGATCTATATTTAGGAAAAACAAGTGAAAATAGATAGAAAAATCTTTTTTTTCTTTCTTCTTCTTCTTCTCTATAATAATATTATATGACAATCATAAAAGTAAAAAATATTTTATTATATAAATATTTGTAAATTAATCTATTATTTTGATTAAATGGGTTACGATCGTCAAACATCTCCATTTGTCACCCGACTTTTATTAACAGTTTATTGTTTATTTTTATTAGTGAATGTATTACTTTATGCAAATAATGTTCATCGTTTACGAAAAGAAAAATATAATTTTGAATGTGAATATGAAATTGTATTTTTAGGTATTGTAAGTATATTAATATTTTCAATAAATTTTTATGGAATATGGTTTGCAAGAATAATTATACTTTGTTTTATGATATTTTTATTTTCAATGTTATTGGGTACAACAATAATATCACTTCTTTTAATAATAACAAATGTTTTACCAATTGATTCACAAATATTTTTATCATTAAAAACTTCAATTTATTTTCAACATAATTATATTTGGTTAATAATAACACCAAGTCATTTATTATATAAAATTAGTTTACCAATAAGTTGTTTATTAAATATATTTGCTTTATGTGGAACATGTCATTTATGTTCATGTATTGAACATCGACAACAATCTTGGCCTTATAGAAAAAGATCACAACATTCATCTCATACAACTATTTAAAAGAAAACAAGAAAAAAAAGATTTTTATATTGTATAATTATATGCATTTTTTGTATTCAATGAACAATGAATTACTTTAGTTTATGTCAAATAGAGTATTGATTTATTTCTGTATGATAATTACAATTGAATAAATATATCAAAGTATTAAAATATTATTTATTTTAAAGATTCTCTACAAAATTAATTTCTTTTGTAGAACTCATGGAGATTTGCGAAGAAAATCATGAGTGTAAGTTTTAAAGTAAAGGTACCTGGCTCTCCTCCTTCATTACAGATCGTAGCAACTAACGTCAAAGATTATTGGATACAAATCCAGGCAGCCATTCATTCCAATGATTTGAAATAATTAAATATAACTGAAAATAGCTTAGACTGTATTAAAATTGTTGGGTATGACCAAAAATGGTTTGAAACGGATATAAGTGTGAGTGATAGTTTAATATATCACACTCATCCTTCAGAAAAATCGTGATCATAAATTTTGAATTCAAGTTTGCTAGTTGACACATCCTTCAAATACTATTGCACAACAAATCCACGATAGCACTTATGAGGTAGTTCCAATACTGACAGATACGTTTTCTTTCAAAAATAAGGGAGGATCAAGGACTTAAAGATCATCAGATGTCTTTAACACGAACATATGTGAGTTGCACTAACAAGCTTTTATGAATGATTTCTATTCTGTAGATAAATTAAATAAACATACAAATTATAGATTCATAAGAAGAATTAAATTCAATGTTTAGTAAAATCATTCTAAAAACGAAATACAAGCAAATATATTGTTCTACTTTCGATCAATCTTTCAATCTATTATCATGTTGTATTGTAGATTCTATGAATTTTTTTTTCTAGATAAACAATAAATATTGTTGTCATATTTCACTATATATTTTTTTATTATACACATAGATAACAATGACTATTTTATTACTATATTACATCAAATAAAAGAAATAAAATCTGTCTATTCTATATGAAATCAACAAACATTACTATTGGTTTTTCTAGTTTTAATCTCGTTATCTAACTAATATTACTGTCAAATTGTAACATATTTATCTATATTCAGATTGATGAGTTTTTTTTATTATATTTTATATATTATTTCGTTTTAAAAAAATGTTCCTGTTATATATATAAATAATTTTATTTAAAAAAACGAATATATATTGTTTAATTAGAAGATTGTGAAGATGAACAATAATAATGATATGCAAACAAAAGACATATTCCTATGATTATAATAAATATAATAAAAATCTAAATAATAATAATAAAAAACTATATTAGTTTAAAAACAATATTTAAATCTAACCTTAGCAAATAAATTCGATTGATGAGATTTATTCTTGTTATCATTAGTATCATCAGATTTATTGTATGATTTATTAAAATCATCATATTGAAAAGTATTAATTGGTTTATATTTTTGTATATAAATTGTTTCATCATTTGATATTAATAATTCATCACCATTGATAACATTTATTTGTGATGGACAAGATGATCTTTCTTGATATGCTAAATATTTTGCTAAAACTAATCGTTCCATTGTATGATAAAAATTACAAGGATAAAAAATCGTTATTTGTTGAAATGGTTGTCTATCAACAATATTATTATCAATTATTTGAATAACAGATCGTGTTGAATTATACCAATTTAATATTTCAATTTGTAAAATATCGATTTTTCCTATTGGTCCACCTAATTTATTAAGCATATCTTCTGAAAGAAAATAATTTTCATTAAATGGATAAATTTTATTAATTTGAATCTGAATTAAAATTAAAATAAATTTCAATAAAATAAATCTTTTTCTTTCTAACCTCAAGCATACAATGTTTAGTTTCATCATTTGAAAAAAAATTTTCGAGTCGATTATTACTTGATTGTTGTAATTCAATAAAAACAAGTAATTGATCATATGTTGTAAATGATAATTTCAAATAATGTAAATAACATGGTTCATCTTGTATATGACTATTTATAACTCTCCATGGATCTTTAAAATCTGAACATTGTTGATTTAAACATGTTTCAATACCATGATCTGTTTCAAGTCGCACAGAACATTCATTTTTAACATCAAATTCAATATTTAACATTCCACATGTTTTATTAACAATAAATATTAAATTAAATAAAGTCAAATAGAATATCATTATCGAAAAACAAACACAAATATCGAATTCTAATCAAGCGCCTTATTTAATATTTGAAAGAATATTTATTTATTAAATTATTTTCTCGTTTTATTCAAACATCTTAAATAATATTCGATTGTGTTTATTTTCTTTTTAGATTACTACAGATATTATTATTCATACTTCTTTTACCTTTATACTTTTGAAATATCTATAATCTCAATTGATAAACCTTAGTAAATTAATAGGCGTCCTAGAAGAATTTAGTTTTTCAGATCTCCTAACCTAAGATATACAGTTATTATTATTATTATTAGTGTTACTGTATCAGATTATACTTGAATTTAATTTAAATATATGAAAATATTTCATAAGATATAATAAAAAAATCTTATAAAATACTATGTATTTTTAGATTCAGAGTTATCAGTATTGATTCATTTGATATTTTTAAATGAAATAAAATTATCTAGAGTATCGCACTAGGAACATTAAGTTACAAACTATTCGTATTATATCATCAAGTATTATCATATTTTAAAATTATTTTGTTTGCTCGTAAAACACTGAGACCAAATAAGTACATAATGAGTATGTAGGAAATAATTAGTATTAGTTGTACGTGTTAAGTTTGCTCATGTAATCACGGAACGCAAAACTGATGCGTTGAAATGCAGTTTCACAACAAAACTCATCCAAGCGCGGTTAAAAACGTTTTTACGACGCATCCAAAAGCATCATCAGTACGAAACGCGTTGAGGCACAGCCAGAAAAAAAATTATGTGCGTTTCAACAAGTTCCTCAAAAACATTTAATGTGTTGGAATACAATCATATACCCGAGCATGTTTGTACCCGTTTCTTTCGTGTGCATCAAATGTGAATGTATCCCAAAAATTACTTCTCTGAATGAATTAACCGTGTAATCGAAATTATTGATTTACGTATATTTTATTTATCTAAACTTCAATAGACTTTTTAATAAAGAATGTCCAGATGATGTTAAAATATATTACCTGTGCATTAGAAAAAAATTTTCATATTAATTCTGTGTACTAAACGATAGAATAGATATTATTTTATTAAAAGAATAATAAAATTATTTAGAAAAAAGAAGTGAAAAATCATATTATGGACTAAATGTGCTAACATTGAAAAGATTACATTTTATTCAAACAAAGTATTCAATCGATGAAATTCGTGTTTAAATATATTTTATTTTCAATGAGAAAACATTTCGAGTTAGTATAGCTCAGTTGTGAATATGAACGACTTCTGATCACTGGTTCATCTGTCCAAGTCTAATCGTCATTGTTTAAAATAAAATTCAATCCATCTGCCGAAGTAGACTAAGACCATCGAAAAATGTTGTTGATGGTGACTCAGTTTTAATCTGTGATGGATTTGATTATTTTTTTGGAGATTTCTAGATTTTATATGAAACGCATTCAGATGCATTTCGAGGCAAAAAATATTCACATAGTTGACTACTAAGATATGTCGTGCGTTATTGATATACGTTGGTGTCAATGTCAGTTAATGCGAGCGTCTAAAACATATCCTGTATAATATAAATATATTCTTATTCATATTTGAAAATGCGTAATATTATTATTGATAATCGTGTTTAAGAAAAGAGAATTCAGTTGAAAACTTTTTTTTTATTTAAATAACGGAGGATTGTTCAATCATAGCAAACTCTTACATATCGATTAATTAATCAGAGAAATTTTTATTGAATTTATTAAAATGGCGTCAATAGCAACAATATTAGGAATTACAGATTGGTGTTTTAATTTTCTTGGTATTCTTATATTTCTATTGATATTTATTATTATTATTATTAAATGTCGTCGTAAATTACATGATATTTCGTTAGTATTAACATTAAATAGTTGTATAGCTTCAATATTTACATGTTTAACCATATGCATAATGATCTGTTCGAATTTAACAACAGGATTTTTAACTTTCGATCATAAATTTTGTATTTTTTGGGGTTTACTTCACGATGAATTTACATGTGCTATTTATTATAGTTATTGTTTACATGGAATCTATCGATTATGTCGTGTTGTTTTCTATAAGAACAAAGTTCTAGTAGTTTATTCATTATATATTAAGTTGATTTTTTGTCAATGGTTATTAACTATTCTTATACTTCTTCCACCTGTTTTTTTAAATTGGTATACAAAAATATCAACAGAAAACTATTGTCTTGTTCCATATACAAATCTTGTTGCTGAAACATATCATATTATTGTGATTTATCTTATTCCATTAATATGCATTGCAATAATTTATATAAGAATAACAACATTTATACGAAATTCTTCACATGTTTCATTATTTATTCTTGAAAAAAGACAACGACATAGAAATATGCGAGATTTAACTGTTCTTAAACGTATTATTATACTCATGTTAATATTAACTAGTTTGCGTTTACCAGCAACAGTTTTTATGATATATGATACTATTATTGGACATTTGTATCCATATACATTTTCTATAGTTGGTTTAATCACATCCATATGTTTAATATTTGTTGCTTTATTGACAATTCATATTACACCACAATTACGAAAAAATATTTTTATTTTTCATAATCGTAGAAACAACCAAATCAATGTTCAAGTTATACCACAACCAGATTTACCAATGAATACTCATATTGAAACTATTCAATGAAATAAACTCTCAATGACAGATATAATATTCTTTTATGTTGTCTTTTGTTGTTTTATTAATAAATATATTGAATGTGTATTTTAGAATTGCTCATCTTATTTTGTTAAATCACTAGAAACTAATAATCATTTACTCTGAAACCTTGAGCTATTGAAATTAAAAATAGCATTAATAGAATAAGACAACAAAATAAACTTCCTTTAAAAACTAGTTAAGCTTAAAAATTACGTTCATTTTTACTTATTTTTCCTTTTTATTATCTGTGATATTGCTAAGTGAAGAAAAGGATTTTTATATATTAGAAGCACAGTTTTACCTGTGTTTTCAGACGCCATAAATCCAGGGAGTTATGGAAATCGATAAAATTTTTATTATAAAATAATTCGAATTATAAATAAAAGAGATACAATATTCTCTTTTTCGTAGAGAAGAGTCCTGAAAACATAAATTGTCTGCTTGTGTGTCCACACTTCACTGATTGATCCAAGAATTATGGAAAGATATAAAACGAATTTTTTAAATAAGTATTAATAAATGAAATATCAAACATCATATCTACATTGCATAAACTTGTCTTGTTTATATTAATTAGTATATACAGTATGTTATTTGCTTTTGCTTCTATAGATCGTTATATGATAGTATTATTGAATAATCATCAGCTTCAAGTAAGTAATCTAAACTTTTGTTACAGTTGTATGTTACGCATTTAGTATATCATATTATTCGGTGTATGAATTAGAAGACTTTTTATGTTTTGAAACTAATATAATAAATACTCTTATCAAATATTTTTCGAAATCGAATACAGTGACTACGACTAAGTACTGATCATGATTATTATTTCAATAGTTGTGTGATTTATTTTCGATTTCTTTATTATTAAAAATATTTATTAACATCAACGCGTGACAATCAGTAGTATAAATGTATATTACAATGCAAAAAATTGAAGTTAAGTTAGAATAAGTATTACTTTCAATATTACTAAGCTCATCTTTTACGATAATAACTATGAATCTGTTAATTGCTTTTTATTGAGTAATATCATTAATTCGAATAAGAATTAAAAGTTTCGGTTTTTAACATTTTTCTTCTAATTATATTTATTGAAAATAATATTTTGTTCTTATAATGATAAGAATATTAAATTATAAAATCATACTCAAACACAAACTTCATTTAATACACACATACAACAAATAAGTTTGCAAAAAAAAAATACTTCAGTCATATATATATGTCACTCGGAATATTGTCATGTTTCACATCATTAGTTTTTGTTTCTAGTTTGTGTAAATGGATTAACCATTGATACATTCATTTGTTGTCTTATGTAACGACGAAATAAATTGTTCAAACCACTAATAAATGCTTTTCTAAATGCACGAGATGTTAATATTGTAACATAAAATGCTTTGACATTATTTAAATAAAAAAAGCGACTAGTAAGACCCAAAACAAAGTTAATAATCGATACTTCTACAGGAGTTTTCGTACTAATTGAATTAAATGTAGAATACAAAAGAATTATAATCCACGGTATTGTAATGCAAATTGTTACTAGAATTTGTGCAAATATAGTTACAATAAATTGATTTCGAAGATTTGGTCGATTTTGTTGAACTGCATCACCCTGACATAAAATAAAATTACATCGATGTAAAATTTATTAATTCAGTTACTTACCACTCGTCCACGACTTCGAAGAACATTTCGATAAGTAAGTAAAACAAATGTTATCATTGTTATTGATGGAACTAAACGAATAAGAACAATACTTGACATAGTTGTTAACATTGGTTGTGTCGATAAACAAATATGTGCAGGAGACAGATCATAATTGATAGGAGCATACAATGTAGAAAGACCACTGGTGAGAACAGTCAGGCCAATCATCCATGGTACTATTCGAAGTTGAGTTATTCGACGAATAAATGATGTATGATCACAGGTTATGGCAAATCGATCAATAATAGCCATGCATAGAAAATTTATTGCCAAATGTGTCAAAAATACTAAGAGAAACAAACTGAGTTTGCAAAGAGCAGATGATGTAGACCATGGTAGTGTAAATCCGAATTGCCATGCAAGATAACTTGAAAATGAATTAATAGAAAGACTACTAATATCAATGAATGATCCACAAAGTAAATAGATACAAGAAGTATTTGAACGAAGTTGAGGTTGAAGGTAAGTAAAAACATTACCAATAAATCCAATAAGACCAAAAATGAAAAAGATTAATGGTAAATAAATAAGAACATTTTGTGATACAAAACTAAGTTCATCTATAAGTGATTTTGATGTTTGTATAAGATCGACTGTCGTTGTAATGTTATTGTCAATCATTTTAGAAATTTGTTTAGTATAAATTATTATATGAAATGAAGAACGAATGTATGTATGCAGAATTACTTTTTTGTCTGTAAGCATAAACTGAGTGAAAAGCGTGTATATATATTTGATGATCTACACTTGTAATTAGTGTCTTTTTATAGAAAGCTCTATTTAACTCATGTGAGAATGACTTCTGCTGCAAAGATTATATACATGCTGTGTTAGTTTGAAAGAAATTGAAAAGATAAAAATTTTCTTTTTGATCATCCAGAAGGAAATAACAACATATGTGAACATCACCGAATGCTCTATATAATGTCACGCTTTTCTTCTGCTTGTATAATTATTTTGACATTAAAGGTCATTAACTATGACTTACAGGGATGTGCCGCAAAGAAAAAAGTGAATTGGTGTAAGAGAATTTTTTCAAAGCTGAAAACGTTTATTTATAATTTTTCGAAGTTGAGGAGGTGCTGAACAAGTTTTTTCATTTGATAGCCTTTGTATTTAACTACAATATTCAATTTTTGCTTGGAAAAACCGAAAATTTTCTAAAAATGGGGAAGTGGCATCACATCACTTAGGCTGTACATCTCTCATAACTTATTTATATTCTATTAAATTCATTACATTTATTCTATATTTTTTAACAAATCCAATAAATTGCAAACATAAAATTCTAACTGTGTGAAGTAGAGTGGATAAAGCAAAGTGCATCAAAATCAAATAAAATCTTTATCACATTTCTCCATTCTTATATGATATTTTCAAGAGTATTTTATTGGAAAACGATGACAAATTTTACATTATTATATAATAATTGATTATGAATTAGCAAACAGAAGAGTATATTATGAAAATGATATATTAGATTAGATTAGTTATATGATACAAAAAAACAAATGCGTCGTTTTTTATTGCTAATTCGAGCATCTTTTGTAGAGGTATTCTACTTGATAGAAACTTTGCATGTTCTACTATTTAATTATTTCAGTGAAGCTGATATTTCTAAAAATATTTCAACTTAGAAACTAAACATGAAAGATATTATTTTGTAACATCATTTATCTAACTGCGTAGATTGACGTCCACATCTCAAACTCTCATTAACAATAATCAAGTACACTGTAGCTAAAAAATAATAAGGTTAATTTCCTTTCAACAAATACTGAGCATCGTTTATTTTTAATAATTGTAGCATAAAATAATATTAATATGTTAAAGTTTCGCATTTCTTGATATATTATAAAAATACTTGGGATATTGTGAGAAGTTTTGATAAAATAAAAATCTTATGAGCATTAATAAACTATTTAAACAATGAGAACAAGTATTCTTCAGTTTTTATCAATAAATGTTGTTGAGATTTGCAATTCATGATTAAAATCAAAGTAAATTCTCAAAAACCACATGATAATTGGATGAGAAACTTTATTAGATTTTGAACTATAATTTCAATGATGTATTTTACAGTGCAAATAATATAACAGCGTAGAAGATAAATAGAATACATCAAATAAAAGTTGAAATGTAAATTATAAATTTCCGGTAGAAAGAACACAGTAATTAAAAATATATTTATCAGAATAATTATTAAAATATTAATCAAAGGTTTGCAGAGCTAAAAATGTTTTTTTGTCTTGTTGTACCTGAAACTGTAAATTTAAATTAGCTTTCTTACTTGTATTGAGAAAAAAATATTTTTATGAGACGAAACTTAATTTTGTTTGATAATTAGAGATATTCTGATATAATATAAAAATTCAAAGGATCATTATTGAAAAGCTTTGCGGTGAAATAGTTATAATTCATTATAAAATTCTTTCATATACATTTTATGCATGTTAATTCTGACGTCAACAAAATTAGATTCTATTCAGAGAAAAAGAGAATTTGATGTGCATGTGATTAATTTGATATATTGTTATATGTCAAAGTGACTACTATAATCAATTTAACAATAATTCCTTAATCAAAATTTTAGAGGACCTCGTAGGATTCACCAGGATCTGCTTTTTTCCTTTGTAATATGTACATAGTACAAGGTGATAAACGAGAGAACTAATATTTTAACGATATTCATTGATTATTCATGGATGGTCTTATGATGATTGTAAAGTTGATCATGTCATGACTTGTCATATTCTGATATTGATGAGAAGACAAAGTATATTTTTAATATAATATACTGATGTTGAATGTAGTTGATAATCAAATGTTGGAACTATTCATGTGAGAAAGAAAAGAACAAATGTTAGCGGAAGTGATCAACTTCTGCCAATTATTATCATTAGCGATAGTATGTTTAAGCATGTAATAAAACTATATGAATGTTTAATCTAACGAATTAACTGTTTATTTAGCAACTTAAATCTGAATGTATCATCTTAACAATCTATTGACATAACTATTTTAGTATTAAAAAAACAATTTGTCTCATTTAAATAGGATATAGGCCATTAAGTGATTTCCATATTGTTTATAGAAAGATGAGATATCAATTATTAACATTATTGCTGAATTGGAAATAATGCTACAAGAAATCAATATTTATAGATTAATTTTTCGTCTTCTGTTCGATTTTATAGGAACCCTCTTCAGTTGTATAATATTTACTGGTCAAATATTTCGTTCAAATCTTTGTTCTATTTATTTTCTTGATGGACGTACAGTACATTTGACAGATTTTGTCATAGATATTACATCTCGAATTATTAACCGAAGCTAATCGGAGTTGAAGAATTCAAATTTGAATTCTATTTTTCTTTAATTATATAAATCAATAGCTTAGTAGTTGTTTAGTAACACAATTTCCACGCGAAAGAGCTGAGCGAGTCTTTAGACGAGCGTTACTTGTGTTTAAAAAAACATTAAATTTACAAGTATTTTATTGATTTGTTCCTAATGATATAAATCAATATTATAGTGTTTAATTTTGACTTTGAAAATTATTTTTTTCTTTTTATTGTTTGTACATAAGATGAAATCTTTTCACTTAGTCTACTTGAACGTTTATCTAGTTTTGTTTTTAATGGTATTCTTTGAGATAGAACAGGTGCTGATAAAGCTGATTCTGAATCATTTGTTGGCATTAAATTAAGTGAATTTTCATAATTCGTTCTTGCTGTTAATAAAGATGGATGATCATGTGGTAATGATAAACGACAAATCCGAAGAGCTTTTTCATAATTAGATAAGGCATTGATATAATCATTTAAAGCAAAATATACACTTCCTAAATTAGAATATGTTGTAGCAAGATCAGGATGTGTTGATGGAAGTCGAACTAAATCAATTTGAAGACTTTTTTCAAAATATTTAATTGCATTAGAAAAATCTTTTTGTGTTTTATGAACCATTCCGATATTATTATATAACGATGCTAAAATTATTTGATCATTTATATTTGTTCCAAGTGCATATTGATAATATAATAAAGCATCATCAAGATTTCCTTGTGTATGATAAATTGAACCAATATTTAAATAAGTATCAGCTAATTGTGAACCACAATAATTATTTGGTGCATGATTTCCTTTTATATATAATGATTGATGGAAATATTCTAATGCTTGTTCAATATTATTTTTTGCATTATGAACACAACCAAGTTGATGATAAATAAAAGCTAATTGTTGATAATCATCTTGAGAAATATTTTGAGATATATTTTCATAAATTTCTTGTGCTTTATCAAATTGTCTCATTGTTAAAAATAAATTAGCTAAATTTTCCCATGGATTCGTTGTTGATTGTATATCTTGACGTAAATGTTTTGTTAATTTTTCCAGTTGTATATCATCTTGATTTGTTGTTAATTGTAAATCAATTTGCCAAATATTATTTTCATTTTTTATTTGTTGAATATTTTCAATACGAAAAACAGTATGAGTTGAAAAAAGTATTTCTTCTTCTTTATTATCAAAATAACCTAATCCATTTATTGACGCATATGGACTTGAAATATTTACTATTGTTGAATCAATTTTCATATGAAATATAATTCCACGTATACCTGGTTTTTGAATAGCATTACGAGCAAAATTAAGTGAAATTTGTTTATTACGACTTGTTGAAAGAAAATTTTGAAATGATATTAATTTACTTTTACAATTTGAGATTTTTTCAAATTGACAAATAGTCATACCTTGACCACGATAAACAATAAATGAATCATGTTTTTGAGAAATATATAATTGTTCAATTTGTTGATGAAGATCTCGTATAAAAAAAGCCATTTTAATTAAAATATCAATATTTTCTGTTCGAAGTGCTTTATTAAGTATTTTATGAATAAAACAATCTCTTGTATACCACCATATTGGAGTATATTTTTCATAATTGTTTTCAATGTCTTCAATAATATCCATTTCATCGGTCTCTAAATTATCTATTTGTGAACGAGAAAATTGAATAAAATCTTTTTTAGCATTTTCATCATATTCAATATTAATTAATGTTTCTTTTAATAATTGTGAATACATAAAATTAGGTTCAAGATGATTTAATTGTTCTTCATTATTTATTATTTGTATTGGAATAAGATTATTTTGAGAATGTTGAATATCTTGTTTAAGTTTTTGACAAAGTTGAAAGATTTCAGAAAAAACTTTTCCTTTTGATTTCGAATATTTATTTGACCATAATTCATGATGATTTGTATTACAACAAAATATATAAATTGAATCAATAGATATTAATTCATGAATACGTGGAACAAATAATTTACCAATTGTACCAGATACAATTAAAAATATAATTTCATTTTCATTCACTTTACTTCGAAGAAATTCTTCACAAATATTTACATCATTAAATGTTCGAATAGAATTATGAATTTGACGAAGTTCAGATAAAAATTTTAAATTATGATCTGATTTTTCATTTGAAGAACTATCCAACCAAATAATATTTATATCATATAATAAAATATAAGACTGAAATGATGAATTATTGTTTGTTTGATTTAATAATTTCAAATGTTTATTTCCCATTTTTGATTTCTATAAATAAAATATGATATCACTTTATATCGTATTATCTTACGTTATTCTTACTTCGTGTTTGTATTATTATTATATTACAGAAATATGCTTTATTGTATAACGACAAAAAGAGAGAAAAAACGTATTTATGTTAGGTAAGTATATTTACAATGAATATTTATCTTCAATGATATGTGACATGTTATTATTTATTTATTTTTCTTTTTATGGATAGATTGTACCGAAGAAATTTCCAACTATGAATAGAAATAAACGGAAGTGAGAGAAAGAAATATTTTTTTCTTATTGGTATATTTTCAATATATGATAATATTCTTTACAATAATTTTTAGAGGAAAGAAAAAAGAAATCGAATGACTAATCATGTCTATTTTTATATATCGACTGCAGTTGGTAATTTTCAACTAGATAAAACAAAATATCTGGTTGATAGTCAATAGCTAATCGTAAAAACAAATGTACAATGAAATTCTCTACGAAAATGACAGTACAAACTTCTATTGACTTCTTATAAGATTGCAAGTAAAGTGTTATAAAATATTTCACTATATATTTAGTATAAAAAAAATTAATCATTTTAGTTCATTTTTTTAGAGTGACAAGACATAAAGTTTAGTTTATTGATGAAAAATTCAAGTTTAAAATCACACGTAATATATTATATTTTCAAAGTTATATCACTTTCATTTACTTTTATACGATAAAATTTGATAGATTCATTTTTTATAAAGGATTTCTTTGAGTAGCAGATCTATATCCTGCTCCATTAAATATTATTTTTCATTCAATTTTAATCAGATTTTAATAATTTCAACGAACGGAATTCTGATTATATCTTCTACAGTCTTAGTAGGTTTCATGTCGAATATTATCTTACTTCTTGCCAGAATGTTTACAGAATTATTCAAAGAGAACAGAAACAAGATGAATACATAGAGTATCGATCTGTAGATCTTTAGTTTACATGCCGATTAGCGTACCCGATTGGATACGCCATGTTAATAGATATAGATTCAACTTTCAGTGTCCTAATATCTATCTAAAATCTTAACTTAAATTTGATTTTTTTATCAAAATAATTATTTATAGAAAAAATATCGAAAGAAAATATTCTATTTAAATTATCTCTGGTATGACAATTATCACCAATTGTCCTCTGGTGGCACGCCAATACACAAGTACATGCTCACCGTATCCAAGGTTGTTTTCTTCTGCTTTTTCTTTATACATATCTACTGTATTTCTAGCCATTCAGAATATTTTATCATTCTTTTTTATGTTTCTAGGCAATGCGTGATCTATCTTGCTTAGTTACACGAAATTGTATTGTATTCTCCTTTGTTTCCTCTCTAGTATATATACATACATATTTCATTTTCTACATCATTTAGATCTATACCCGGGACGATGGTTTCTGAAGCACGATTCCATGAATTTCCTGGCTAAACCCGCCCGAAAAATCTCAGGAATCCGATGGAGAAGTGAGATAACCGTATCCGGCTGACGGTTTTGACATGTTCCTGTCGGTTCCGGCCCAAACCAGATAAATCCGGCCACCGGATCCATTCAACAGGAATACCATGAAACCGGCCGTTTCCATACCGGATTGTTCGACCTGGGTATTTTATAAATCTTGTGACTATTATTTTATTTTATTTTATCTTCTTATATTTTGTAGATTAAAATGAAATATTTTGTGGATTAATATGAAAAATTACCCATTCTTATCTTGGATTTTATCTCTGTACAACAAAACAATAAAAAATCGAGATCAATTAATTATAGTAGCTCACTATTGTTTCATAAATTTGGGGTTCATTATTGATAATAAAAAAGAAGAAGTAAGAATTTATTTTTATATATTCATTTTATTTTATTTTTATTTTAAAGGACAATGAAACATTAATAATTACACGAGATAATCAACAAGAAGAAGAAGATGCAAATTTTTCCCTCGATTATAAGTATCAAGAGATGAAAATAAATGTGAAATATTCATTTGAAAATAGTAAATATTTTATAATTCTAGAGGTAAGTTATATTTTTATTATTACCTGTTTTTCGTTATTTTTTAAATTTAGATAAAAGGCAATGAATCAAATGACTTAAAAAGAAATATCAAAGAAAGTTTACTAATGAACTGGTATAAAATAAAGGAAAACAACCAAATGTATTCAGAGAAGAGTTTCATACTAAAGGTGTTTTAATTTTAAATAAGACACAATAATTTTGGGGGGCACTAAAAATTAATAATTTTATTACAAGAAAACGTTTTCTTTTAATGTGTCTTTCGTCTTACATGTACATTTATATTTTGACTGATGATGTTATGTGTACATAACGAAACGTCTCAATAAAATGATTACAACGGTGTCTTTTATTCTTTGTCAAATGTTTACACCGTATAAATAAGAATAAATCAATTCATTTTTATCTTGGCGATTGTATCTTCATAAAGGTAAAATAAAAAGTCAAGATTTATTGATATTAGTATCTCATTACTGCTTAATACATTTGGGTTTCGTTACTGATTCTCAAAATAAGGAAGTAAGAAAATATTTTTATAAAATTGATCTTATTTCTTTTTATTTTAAAGAATACTGAACTACTTACTATTATAAGAAATGAAGAAAACGATTCTTCTTTTTCTCTGGATTACACTTATGATGAACTGAAAACCAAAGTCCGATATGTATTTTATAATAATACATATGCAATATCATTTGACGTAAGTTATTTTTTATTAATATCTATTTTTATTGTTTTTTTAAAATTTAGATCGACGAAAAAGAGTCATCAATCGAATTATCATTAAATACGTATTATGTTGCTAATTCTTTATCTTGAAAATATTTTTTTAGTCAATTAGTTAATGTTGGTGATTTAGTCGAGAATATCGAAAAACGAATAGCTAGCATTATTAAACATCGTCGAAGAAAAGAACGACAAACAACGAATGAAAATAACATTTGATCTTGTAAGCGAACATATGCATTATTTGTTCGTTATTCTATCTATCTGGTATTTTCCTCCTGTCTTTATCTTAATGCGTTCTTCTTTTTTCTTTGACTTCTACTAAAATTTCCACGTGATTTTTCTTTATCTACCATTAGTTTTTTTCTTGTAATGTAATTCATTCTTTATTCAACGATTAAAAGAGAAATTTGCTAATCATTAAAATGCATTAAGCAAAATCGAATTTATTAATACATAAAATATAAATACTTATGTTGATCAAATAAAATAATGAAAATTTTTCAATGGCTATTGAAAAAGGAACACGACGGTATCAAAATCATCATTGAAATATTCTATGATATACGTTTAAATAGTGCACCTTCAACTACTGCATTAATATTCTGAGCCTTCATTCAAATAAATATTTCTTTCTCAGCAGAGAAATAATTTGAAAATCTGTTGTCAACGTTTTATTATTAGATGATTTTGATATACTCACCACTGTAAAATCTTTTGATTGAGTACATGTGTCGATGAATCAGATGATCATACTCTTTTATTTATGATCTTTTTTCTTTGTATATATGCATTATATATAAATATACTGTTTATGTTAATTACGCATTTTTCCAGTTGCACCTTATCATGTCTGACTATTCTCATATAAATATTTATATATATTTAGTTCCTATGAGTTGAATAGAAAAAGTAATTATCTGTATTTGAATAATTGAATTTTATTTACATCAAGCAAATCAAAATCAGGTTATTTCTGTATGAAGAAAATAATCTTAAATCAATTTTGAATTAACTTCGGACTAATCTATTGAAGAATAATTGTTAAACCACCTTGAAAACCAATTAAAAGTTGTAATGTATGAATTGAATTTAGTTTTTGAATATAAGAATATGAACAATCTATTGGTGAACATTGTCGGTAATAAGATGAATAATTTAATGTTATATTCCAATCATCAACAAATAATTCATCAATTAATTGAGATATTGTTGTATTTATTAAAATTTTTGTCATATTTGTTGATGAAAACGGTATAAATGAATTTTTCGAATTATTATTATATTCATAATTTGTATAATTTTGAATAAGTTGAATACAATTCAAATCATAAAAACATTCAAGAGTTGATTGAAGAAATGATTCACTTGATAAACATCCAATTTTTAAACCTCTAACTGAAATATTTTGATTTAAATACTTATCAACAAGATTTGCTTGACTTGTACAATTTGAAGATATATTACAAAAACATTCATCATAACTCATACGACGAGCTGATAAATTAATTATTCATTCATCCAAAATAAATTCACTTTTACAAGTCTATAATTAATAAACAAGAATAAAACCAAATTTTTTTCATAAAATAAAATATTCTTACATGATGAAATATTCGTTCTATTATAATATAATCACAAGTAACGTTCGCCGTCTCGACTCACTCACCCTCGACTGTAAGAGTATAGGACTGAGTGTAAATGAAAATTTCGATGTAACTATAGATCTCGCTAATAAATCAGAACAAAATACACGCTGACACCCAGCCACTCACAGCCGCACTCATTCAACAACCACACTCGATGCTGCACTTACATGAACCCATCCACAGACACCAACACTCCTAACCATCTACACCCGCTACGACTCCGATACCCACTCACCCACCAAAAAATACACCGTTCCACCGTATTCCACCCTGATTCTCCCATTCCTACCCTCTTTCACCCACTTTCGACCAATTCCACCCACTTTCGGCCCATTCCACCCACTTCCATCCACTTCCGACCTATTCCACCAACCTCTCATACCAATTTCACCCATTCCACCCATTCTTGACCCATTTCACACACTTCTGACCTATTTCACCCATCCTACCCACTTTCGACCCATTCCATCCGCTTCTGACCCATTCCATCCACTTTTGAACCATTCCACCCACTTTTGACTTATTGCACCAACTTCCACAAACGTCCACCCATTTCCACCCACTTCTAACCCATTTTACCCACTTTTGACCGATTTCACCCACTTCCACCCAAAATACCCACTTTTTACCCATTTCACCCAATACCCACTTTTTTACCCATTTTCACCCACTCCCACCCATTTCCACCCACACCCACCCAAAATACCCACTTTTTACCCATTTCACCCA